TCGGCCAGTGCCTTCAGCACCCTCGGATGGAGCTCATCCGGGCCTGCCGACTTAAAGGCATCCAGTTCTTTCAAGTGACTCTGCACCATCTCAGGGTCTATGCATGGTAGTCTGGTGCCTTCCTGCTGTCTCTCTACAACCCCAGTGAGAGACTTGTCGTGCAATTGGAGCAAATGTTGCTTTTAGAGCAGGGGCTGCCAATTATTTTGGGTGGAGGACCGCTTACTGAGTTTTGGCAAGCCATCAAGGGCTGCATGACAGGCAGCCAGAGGCAGATCAATATTAATATTCTAATTTTTTTAGGGGCCATGTGGGCTGGATAGACTGGCCTGGTAGGTCGCATGCAGCCTGCGGGCTGCATTTTGCCCATCCATTTTAGAGTATGCAAAGCTAAACCCCTTTGTGACCCAGTTAAGAGTTACTGGGCATATCTATACGAGATGTTTACTGCACAGTTGCCTAATTAATTACATGGTAAATGTCTCAGCATCTACATGTGCGCCCCTATTAGGATGCACAAAACTAATGAACTCCGCAGCAGGGTAGGACTTGTAAATACAAGTTCTATCTTGCTGCAGAGTTTTTTCATGTGCAGCAGTGCAAGTCTAGATTCTGACCAGCTGGCTGGGGCATGAGGGTGCTTCAGTACCAGGGTTACCTGCTGGCTAGCCTCAAACTGAAGCACCTTTGTGCCCCGGCCAGCCCCGTCTCAGCACATTGAGCCTGGTTGGAGCAGCTCCGGGCTGGCAGGTTGACCCCATAGGCTCCCTGCCAGCCAGGGCTGCTGTGACAGGCTCAATGTACTGTGGTCTGGGCGCACATGCAGATGTGTGCCTGGGAGCGTCCCAGGAACCATAAACTGGAGCAATAAGCTCTGCAGTTTATTTCTGCCCCCTAACAGCATGTGTAGGCGCACCCATTGACAATAGGAGTTTGAAATAGCATTGGAATTTTCTGATTCTCAGATATGCAGCAAAGGTATTCCAATGGTTAGCCTGATTTGCAAATACTCTGCAAGGTTTGGAGAATTCTTTCATGAAAAGGGCTTCTATGAAGACCTTGTACTAGCATAAATAGCTAGGCCTGGTAAGGGCATGATATGAAACTGAGACACAAACATAACACTTGAAGTTCTTCAGGTGTTTTAAAGTGCTTGAAAAAGGGAGGGTGCAGAAGTACCTAGGTGATGATTCTTCAAATTCAGGTTGTTCTGCCTCATAAACAACCTCATCTCCTTGCCTTACCAACCTCATCTCCTTCTATGCCACCTGGACACAAGAGAGCAGGTTGACATTGTATACCTTGACTTCCAAAAGTCCTTTGATATAATATCCCACGATGTCCTTGCTAGAAAATTGGAGGGTTATGGGCTTAACTCCGAGACAGTATGTGGGTGAGGAACTGACTGCAGGATAAGACTCAGAGTCATAGTGAATGGATCTGTGTCATCCTGGCGAGAAGTGGGCAGTGGTGTCCCGCAGGTGTCGATGCTTGGTCTAGTACTTTTCAACATCTTTATTAATGATTTAGATGTGGGGGTGAAGAGCTCACTGGTCAAGTTCACAGACGACATCAGGTTATGGGGACGCATGGTCACACTTGAAGGTAGGCTACAGATACAGGCAGACCTAGACAGGCTGGCAAGTTGGGCAGATCAGAATCTGATGAAGTTCAACATTGAGAAATGTAAAGTGCTCCACCTCGGGACAAACAACCCCCTA